CCTTTTACTAGAAAAATACAATGTGATGTACCACAGTTATTTATTTACAAAAATTGTAGTTTATAACTATGTTACTATGTATTCAAAATGTCAAAAGTGTGTTTTTAAGAATTATTAGCATAAGTATTTCTTTTAAAACTAGTATTATGTTAAGATAAAAATCATAATAAAGAAGATAGTCAAATATTTATGTTTCCAAAGTAGAAATGAAATATTTTATCTTTCATTATTTTTGTGTATGTGTTAGTGGCTTAAGGGGATTTTACTACTTGATTAGAATCTGTATAATTTTTTTTAAATTATATATTAATTTATGTATATAACTATAGTTATGTAACTAGTTAATGACTAAAATTACTCTTTTTAGAAAAAGAATTTCAACTAAACTAAGCATAGGTTTATAGGTATCTTTAATTGTTACCATTTATATTGTAAATTTGTTGTCAAATACATAATTTATTATATGTTACATAGGTTTCTAAAATAGTAGTAATAATTTTAATACATTCATATTTGTTTTTATTTTTTTTTAGCACAAGGAGAATCTAGTTTACAAACTTATAAAGAATCTCGACACACAGAGAATAGAGTAAATTTTTCCAGTAAGTTAGTTATAATCATAAATTACATTTAAACTATTAAATGAGCATTGTATTATTTTTATAATTTAAGATTCTGAAGTTGATACTAACAAATTAACTAAATTCCAAGTGTTGCTTGAAAGTAAGTTATTGCAGTTAGAAGATTTGAAAAAACTTAGCTGGTCAGGTGTGCCTGTAGAAGTACGTCCAATGACATGGAGATTATTAGCAGTAAGTTAATTAAAAATGTCTGTTAAAAATAAATGTCTATTGAATTACTATATAATATACTTTTAAAATATTGTCTAATGTACTTATACTCTATCTAACGAGAAAATGTGTGGAAGAAAATATTTTTTGTTTGATAGTGTCATTCATTGCTAGATGGTGTATTATATATTTTACTTATTACGTAAAATCGGTTATTTTACAAGTGATAAGATTTTTATAACACTAAAATAATTTAAGAATATTATAATAGTGACAAAAGTTACTTATTTATGTTAGGTATGTCATTTGATAATTTTACTCTGAATTTACTAATAATCAACTATATAATTAGATCTGATCACTTTGCTCTCAAAATATTCTTGGATAAAAAATTAACATTATGTACTTCAAACAACATTAAAATAATAATAATTGTTAATGGTTTATCATTGATACAAAATAAAACAAGTATATTCATCATGTAAAAATATTATTAATATATTTTTTAATTTAAAAGAAAGATATTTAGACAATTAATATTATTAAATCACAAAATCAGTTAAATTATATATTTTGTAATTAAAGTATTCATATTATTTGATAAGTTTGTTTAGATAATTGAAATAACAAAAATTATCTCTGTAAAATATAAAGAAGATGTATACTTCTGTATTACATAAATGACAGCCTTGATTTATAATTTATTTTTGTTTATAATTTTACTTTATAGGGTTATTTGCCAACTAGTTCTGAACGTAGACAACAAGCTCTTGATCGTAAGCGTATTGACTATGCAAATCTTGTCAAACAATATTATGATACAGATAAAGATGAAGTGTATAAAGACACTTATAGACAGGTTTGTATCTTTAAAATATTTTTTTTTTTTATTTAAATTTATGTTTATGATTATGTATTTTTATTATTTAGATTCATATTGATATTCCACGTATGAGTACTCCTCTTTTTCAACAAAAAACTGTGCAAGAAATGTTTGAAAGAATCTTATTCATCTGGGCAATCAGACATCCTGCATCTGGTTATGTTCAAGGCATGAATGATTTAGTTACACCTTTTTATGTTGTCTTTTTACAGGAATATCTCCCTATAGGTACTAGTATAATATATTATCAGTATATTTCTGTCAAACTATATGCCAATTTATTCAAATTAAAAAAATTATTTTAAATATTCTATTACTGATGTACAATATTTTTACAAAATAATATTTTATTTAAAAAGAGAATATTTTATGATTTTGTTTATATTATTACTAATTATTCGACTTTAATGTTGTTATGACTAATATGTAACATACATATATATATATAGAGTGTCCCACGAAGTTCTGACAAACGAAATAACTTGAAATCTAATCAATATTTTTTAATTTTTTTTTTTATATAATTAATAGACGTTTGTACTACATTTATGATATAAATGTTTTTATTTTTATTTTATAGTAGGAAAAATAATAAATTTTAAATTTGATTCAAATTTTTTTGAAAAAAATTGAAAATAGCCTATTTAAAAACATATGGAAAAAAATATGTTTAACGTTTATAGTATTTTATTTGAGTTATCCGTTTGCGACTTATTAACATTTAAATATTTGTTTAATTTACTGCTACTGGGCAATTTATAAAACCCAACAATAAAAACCAGAAGTCAAAATGAATCTAAGATAATACACAGATTATCAGATTATATAGGTCCAATGTCCAATAATTCCTATGATCATTCACCATTGTACTTTTTGCATATGGGAACACGGGGTAGAAAGGGGAACTTAATGTTCAACATACATTTTACTGTATTCTACTTAACATAAAACTCCCAAATCTCAATCAATAAATGATTAACAGTATAAATATCAATTCACATCAATAATCAAATAAATAACTCAAATATATTTTACTTTATTACCAACAAAAAATAAAAAATAACTTGCTCCATTCTACCCCGGGCTAGAATGGGGTATATATATTAACATTTTAACATCTAATATTTTTTAAACATAAATACTTTTTTTTATTCATTAATTATTTTTTGAATAATATTTACATGTATGCAGTGCTTCATCATCGCTGTCAACTCCTGCACAGGAGTTGTGTGACCACTTTCTACATTTCATACAACTAATTCATTCTTCAATGGACTTGGAATATAATGGGGCGGAATGGGGTATTACAAAAATATACCCCATTTTGCCCCGTTCCGTCGTGCCCAAATATACTATTTATATCTTAACTACGAGTTTATCCCAAAAATTGCGATTATTTGATGTAAAAAAAAATAACAATCGAACATTAGTGTGTTATCTTATATGTTTTAACAATACTCGGGTGATAGAATAGTATTAAATTCCACTTACCAGCAGTGAAAAATCGACGAAACTTGTAAAAAATTGCTACGAAACAACAAATAGTAAATTAGCGAAAAAAAATGTGGTTAGTGATTATGGCAACGTAATCTATGATTAAATAGAGGTAAAACATTATTATTTCTGACAACACCAAGCGATGCGTTATGTTCCGAATCGAAAACAGCGGTTACCTCGTTGTGCGCCGTATCCCCATTCTATCTTATTAATAACCATTCCCGGGTCATTATCGATAATCGCCGTTATCGATATCCTTAAATTGAGATATAATTTCATTTTGACTTCTGGTTTTTATTGTTGGGTTTTATAAATTGCATAGTAGCAGTAAATTGAACGAATATTTAAATGTTAATAAGTCGCAAACGGATAACTTAAATAAAATACTATAAACGTTAAACATATTTTTTTCAATATGTTTCTAAATAGGCTATTACAAATTTTTTCAAAAAAATTTGAATCAAATTTAAAATTTATTATTTTTTCTACAATAAAATAAAAATAAAAAAATGAAAAAATATTGATTAGATTTCAAGTATTTCATTTGTCAAAACTCCGTGAGACACTCTGTATATATAAACAAACAATAATTCCTTATATTTTAAGGTACAAATATTGAAACACTTGATGTAAGCTCATTATCAAAGGAAAATCGAGACTCTTTAGAAGCTGATTCATTTTGGTGTTTGTCTAAGTTCTTGGATGGTATTCAAGACAATTATATTTTTGCCCAGCTTGGAATACAGTATAAAGTTAATCAGCTAAAAGAACTAATTCAAAGGATTGATGGTGAGTGATGTTTTATTTATTTTAATGAAATAAGTTAATATTCAATATTTATTTAGGTACATTACATAGACATTTAATGAAACACGGAATCGACTATTTACAATTTTCATTTAGATGGATGAACAATTTACTAACAAGGGAATTACCATTAAGGTGTTCAATAAGGTTATGGGATACATACTTAGCAGAGTCTGATTGTTTTGCTACTTTTCAGCTTTATGTATGTGCTGCCTTTTTGTTGCATTGGCGACAAGAATTACTAGAAGAAAAAGATTTTCAGGTAATAAAATGTTAAATGATTGACTTATTTTACGTTATTAACTAATTGATTTCTTTTAGGGTCTTATGATAATGTTACAAAATTTACAAACACAAAATTGGACAGACGCTGATATCAGTTTATTAGTAGCTGAAGCTTTTCGATTGAAGTTTACATTTGCTGATGCTCCAAATCATTTGACTACAAAAAGGTGATAATATTTTTGTAATATTGGTGGCTCACCTTTATATTTATATATTATACATTTACCGCAAATTGTATTTATTTTTTATTAATTAAGATAATTATGATATATTATTATTGATTATTCTGCCGTTTCCATTGTTTATTTTAATTTTAAATACATTGAAATTCATAATTTATTCATTCTACACTATTAAGTTTCCTGTATATATTATATTGATTAATATCAAAGTTATTTAGTTTATTTTTGTTTTATATTTGTATTGTTATTGTGCTCCCAATACAGGGTGGATTGATGTTTATTGTCATTAGTGCAAAAATTCTATATGTATATTTATTTTTATTATTTCAATTATTTTATTATAAGAATAAATGATCATTAATTTATGTTTATCAGGTTTTAACAATATATATATATATATAGACATACATATATAAATACAATAATATAATTACAGATGTATTGAATTTTATTATTTTATGAACTTATGGTTCATATCTAAACATTTCTGTTAATGTAAATCTAAAAAACAACATTAAATTGTATTATATAAAATTGAAATACAATTATAAACTCATTTATAATCTTAAGTAATATCTGAATATTTTGTTTTTACATCTTTATTCATAATATTACATAGAATTGCTGAGTATGTTAGTTGTAACAATTGAACTTATTTATATTTGTTAATATGATTGTTGAAGATAAAAATCCTTATAGCATATAAACATTTTGGAAGCCCACCAATACACTGCTACATCATATTATTCTTTAAATCAGCTCCAACTTAAATGGTCACTTGACTATTTGAATCTGAAAATATATTACATTATAATTAAGAACATGTATTCCAGTGCCCAATCTTTTAGAAGTGTTAAAAGCATATTTTTTATTTACTTTATTTATATAAAGTTTATATAAACCTATTAAAGAATTAATAAACTTTCAGTAATGATATTAATTATTGTTAATTCATTGCTATTATTAATATTCAATACCTATATAAATTAATAACAATTATGAATTAATGCAAAATATAAATAGTTTTAAATGATTTTAAAGGAAGACCTTTTTCTTGAGATATACAATATAATTTCTATTTAATTGATTAATATACTATTAATATACAGGTGATAAAACAATATAAATATATGAGAACGATACCTTTAATTGAATAAAAATATTTTTATATGAAAGCCAAAATCATTTTGTATATAAAAGTTGTTTGGAACAACAGCTATAGAATGACATCATATAAATAAAACTGAAAACAATATTCAATAATTTGATAATTTGTTGGAAAAAAATAATCTGGAAAAAAAATGTTGGTTATAAAAACAATGATTTAAGAATCAATATTTGATTTTTTTTTTTACTTAAGAATCATTTGAGTCCATCGATGTACATGAATCAGAATCATCTCCAAAACTCTCTATTGCTATATTCCGTTTACAAGCAATCATGGCAATTTCACTAGCAAAGTTTTTATCAGGCAATCGCATAGAAAAACTTTCATTAGAAGGTAAGTCTACTGCTACTTTACGCACTTTATTTATATACTGGACATGTTTCTCATTAAATTCTTCATCGTCAGAAAAGTCATTTAACTGTGGATGTCTTTCTAACAACTTGCATTCTCGTTGTTTCCATTCTTCTTGTTTATCTTTAAGTGCTACTTTCAATTCTAACATTAAATTGTGATTGTTAGACTTATCAAATACTTCTTCATTACAAAATGTATTTTCCATATTTTCTGTAGGTTCTTCAGATACACCAAAAAATAATTCATCTTCACAGACTTCTTTAATCGGTTCATCGATCTTTGTATCTATATGATCAATCACACCAATAGAGTCGTTAGTTAATATAGTTTTATCTGTATGATGATTATTTGTTTTTAAAATATAAATTTGTAAAGTAGAAATAAGTTCATTAAAAACATTGGCTTCTTTTACTAAAACATTTAATGTATTATTTATATCATCAATACTGTATGTTGAAGAGTTTTCAGTTGAGTCTTCTATGAACCTTACATGAACCATCATGTTTTGCAAGAAATGTCGAATACTATATAGTTTCAACTTCAGATCAGAATTTGTGTTATTATCTTGAACCGGTTGATTACTATGTTTTGTAGTATTTTTAAACATTGAATAGATATTATATTCATTGTATAAAAGATCATATAAGTTTGAATATATTTTTTCAATTTTACCAATAGTTTCAATTAGACGATTCACATGAAAAGAACTATTAGAAGTCCATAATGCAGGGCATAAACACAATGCTGACTGTTTCAAGAATTCTGATTGTAATAGGAAATAAGTATACTTGGCTTTCTGAAATATAGATGTGATAAATAATTATGTTTGGATAAAATATTTTATAAATATCTTAATTCTTAATATTTAAAATAGAATATTAGGATGTGAACTATAATTTATATTAGAATAATTATTTTAACGCTTGTTCCATTTTTGGATAAGTCTTAACTTTTTTTGTACTTTATATTAATTCAACATTTTATATTATTTAAACTGAATACTGAATATATTTGAAATATTAGGATATTTATTATTTCAAGGTATACTTACATTTATATTTTCGAAAGAAGTGTTGTTTAAATCAATTTTGTGATCTGTGCGGTATAAATAAACTATGTTTGAAACAGAATCTTTTAGAGGGAAAAATGAGTGAATTTCAGATATATTACATCCAAGATTGTTGATCAAATCTTGTAACACAGATGTAAGTAATGATTTTAATTCTGGCATCAATAAGTATTTGAAGGCATTAGGATTTTTACCAGCATATGTGTCACAACAACTAAAATAAAAAAAATTATTATAATTAACAATAAAAAGACAAATTATTATTTTTATAGTTAAGATAACATAAAAAACTGTGCAGTTTCTTAGGGTATTTATCTAAAACAAATATCATCTACAATGGATTAATTAAAAATGAAAAATATATTACAGGGATAATGTGTATTAACAGTTAATTAGGAAATAGTTATTAAAGTATAGAGATGTATAAATAATAAAAGTAATACATAATAATCACGCACCATAATCTGTATAATATCCAGTAAAATACAATAATTGATACTAATAATAACAAAAATAATGTGAAGGACAAGTACAGTCGCCTTGATCTGCAGGAGAGTGTGCAGAACTTCAATAGTATGCTCATCAGAAGGGGTTTGAAGTTTTTTTTGGGTCAACTGAATTTTTTTTTAGCAAATATACAATTGGTAAATGCATTAAGTATAAACAATATGAGAAGTATAGCTTGAATAATTTAATAAAAGGAAATCTCCATGAACCTCCACCCACATACTGTTTAACATACCCAAAAGTTAAAAAATAAAATAGTTAGTCTTATAAAAAATAATAGCTAATACATTTTTGAGTTAGAAAATTACTTTATAATAGTAATAAAAAGGTATGCTGTTCAATTTTTAAAAATAATAATACATATCTCTTTTGCTTTTATATGAAAATAAAATATTTTTTTTTTGCTTTGAATTTTATTATTTTATTTCTAACTTTTTTAAATTTGCTATCATAACTTTACTATTTTGTTTAGATCCTGTTTTTAGTTAAAAAAAAAAAAAATGTAAAATATATTGGTATATATTTAAAATTTTAGCAACACATTTGCAAATTTAAGAACAAATTTTAATAGCTTTTTACACTTTATCTTAACCTTTCCGGTGTGTTTCAAAACCGATTATGCTACTAAAGGTAATAAACTAATAACAGTTTAGTGTTGCTTATGATATGTTACAGTGAGGTAGTTCGACTTGTATCATAGTAGAATATAATACATGTTTTTAAATAATTTTATTATAATATATTTTTGACTGAATAATCTAGATAAATAATTTTATTTTTTATAATCTATATTATATAAATATTTTTATTGTAGACTACATATTGAAAGATAGACAAAATTGATTTTCTCAATAAAATAATTGTTATATAATACTTATAATTCAAATTATAATAATAAATTTAATTAAAATAAATTAAGTTATTACCTAACATGAAGATTGTTACATTCTTGAAGAAAATGAGTAGACTTTTGTATCAGCAGAGATAATTTTTCCATAGAATGAATGGTTTTCATTATAGTATTTTTTATTGCTTTGCTTTGTTTTGAGCTATATAATACATCCATGAACACACATCCAAACCCAAAAATTAACATGCCTACTGTTGTCCAGACATCCCAGTATTTTGAAAAAAACATATTCATGAGACCACAGAATATGGATAATATAAAAAGAGTAAAACTGAAAATTATAAGTAAATATAATTAAAATATAATTTAATATTTACACAACATATTGATTGTAGTATATAACTGGATACATGGTTAAAATACTACCAAAAACATTATTATTAAGGTTATTAGGCTTGATATAATTGCTATTGTCATAAACATAACGAATGCATGGTAAAATTGAATATAGTAAAACTAAAAATGTATTATATTGTATTTGTATTATGGTTAAATGTTAAGAATTCAATAAACTAAACAATTTAAGACATGAGTTGTTATTCTATAGATAACAAGTAATAACTTATTTAGAAGTATTCTTAAATCTTTACCTTTTCTTTTTTGTAAGAAATGTAGGAACTAAAGGATATTTAAAGTTTTCTGATGGCATAAATTCCTTAATAAATAAAGTATCTTCTTTGAAAATAAGTTGGCTCTCTATGATTATCTTGATTAATGTTACACACAATTCAAAGTCCTAAAATGAATTAAATTTTTATTTTGGCAAATTTATAGTAAAATAATAAAATAGGATTAAAGAAACTTGTCTTAGAAGTCTCGAGTTTATCGCTTCTTTTATTGTAAGAAAATGTAGAAGTTGGTTTTGATAATTTTAGATTTCTACCACATTTTAATAATGATTACATACCTTATGATTTTTGGTAGGTATTATTTTTTTCTTTGAACATTTTTGTGCCTATTAAAAAAAAAATCTGATTTTTGACAAGCCATACATTAGGTTTTATTTATAAGTAATTAAGAATTCCTTTGGGAAATAATATTTTTATAGGTAAATAAAACAATTTTTAAGGTATAGTTTTCGAGTGTATAATGCACTTTATAGTATTGGAGTTTCACATTTACTTGAATCGGAGAACATTTTTCGACACGTTTTCGTTCAGAAACTTCAAATTCTGAGTATCCAACAGCGCTTAAATACTTTTGTAAATCTGTGCCCTAAAATATTGATCAAACATAAAGTCTGCAGTTTAGTTATATCAATGATAAAAAATGTGCGATAATTAATTATTTCAGTACTTACGTCTACGACAACATCTTCGTCATCGATTTCCATTTTGGCATGAATATATTAATTTAATTTATAAGCGTAATTATAAGTGAAGCATTTAAATTATGCATATTTCATAAATCTTAATATTTAATACTCAAATACTGAAATATTCAAGTGGTGTTATCAGATCCATATCAATAGTATCAGTCATAAAACGTATTCTCATGGAGGTAACGAAAGTAAACGGTTTGTTATCTATTGACTGTTAATTAATACGACTTTTTTGAAGTTTGTTTTTCGACAAAACGATTAGAAAAGAGATTTGTGTTAAACGTATATATTAAGAGTACCAGAAGCACTAAATCGTTGAAAAAGTTGGTAAGTGATAGGAACAAACATTTTAGTAAACGTTAAGCAGCTTTGATGTACAATTATACAAATCAATAATCATACAATCAACAAAAAGTTGGGACTAAAAAAGTCACTGGGACTTGGTTCTAGAGTAGCAATGTATATGAGAATATGTAAATGAAAAAAGTTTATAAGTAATATGGAAAAATCACTATTTTTTACATTCTCCGTGTTTTTATTAAAAATTATTACATAAAACATAAAACTTTTGTGATAATTTTGAAACTTTAGCTAAACTATTAAGAATCTAACCGAAGCGATGAATGTACCTATTGATTCCATAATTTTTTTCCGTCTATTGTCTATTATTATTTTTTGGATCAGTAAAAATCTTTTGATTTTCAATTTTGTGGGTGGTTTTTATTTTAGTTAGTATTTTGGGGGATAGAGTCAAAAGTAATAAATTCTCAGAAATTTTTTTATAATTGAGAAAAAATAAAGGAAAAACTAGAATTTAAACTTTTACGTATTTTATATTATCAATAATTTTACTATATACAATGACATTTTTTTTTCTATTTTTACTTTAAAGTTATTATATTTTGAGTTATAATACATTATACAAGTTGATATAATATGATATACATACATATTAATATAATGATCAAATAATTCTAATAATACAATAAATGTAATATTTTCAGAAAAAAATATATAAACCTACCATAATACTTAAAGTAAAATAAATAAATTTAATAGCTATATAAAAAAAAAAATCATGAAATGTGTTTAGTTGCATAGGCTGACGACCGTTTCCGCTCTGAATCATTTTTCATTTACTATGATATAATGAATTCAAATTATCACACCCATAACAGTGACCCATTTAAGATTTAATATACAGCAAAGCTGTACAGTTTACACATTGCCTACCTTTTGTCCATTATAATTTATAAGTATCTTTAAGCTGAAACGAAAGTTTTTTTTTAAATATTCACTTAAGTATTATAGTTAAATTGTTAATTATTTCATTATTATTATGTTCAGCTAGTACATCTTTTTCACATGACGTAATATTAAAAAAAATATTTTAAATAAACTTTTATTTAAAATTTTTATTTTTATTTAATTTTGTTAATATCAACCACTGGTCACATTAGGTAGGTAGGTACTAGCCCACCGGGAAATTCTCTGACATTCCGGGGAGCCAGTTTATCCCTACATAGGCTACATATAGTTATTGAAAAACGGCTTTTAACAAATCATTTAAAAACAAAGTTTACTTACGATATTTCGGTGAAAACGCGTTTACGGGTTAAAATAGTTTTTATTTTATTCCATGGTATCATTTAAAAGTAAAAGTGCATAAAGTTGGCAACAAACATTGAGTAGGCAGGTATATGCATTTTTTTTTCAATTGAAGTTTTGAAATTTTAAATACTCACCTACTCAATTATTTATTAAATCTTTAATTTAATTTAGGTACCATGCGAAATATGTGCAAGCGTGTAACTAAATATTATCGTTTTATTAACGACTTTATCGAATAATGTTCTGAATGTTCAACATATTTTATTGCGCGCACTGTGAGGTAAAATAATAAATAAGTAGTTTGACGAACTCTTAAGAGCCGAACATACACAACGTATCTACAATTTACTTATAGTCAGTTATAGATATGCTTATAGGAACTCAAGCAATTAATATAGAATTGTGTACAATTTGAAATAATGTATATAATGTATCACATTTACGTATATGCACTTTCCAAGTACCAACTATTATATTTTCCTAGGTATTTAATATTTGATAACGATGTATCATTAGTATAGTTGTATAGGTATAGGTACTAGATATTTACCAATAAAAATAAGACTATGGATAAAAAAAGATCGTTTGAATTTGTACAATTATAATATAAATACCATTTTTTTAACTATGATACTTTGAAAATTTAAAATTATTTATTATTATACACATATTTTTACGTCAATTTTAGAAAACTTCAATGATTTCTAAACTTATTTTATTTATTTGAAAGTAAAAATATTTTTATATGTATTTGTCTTAAAATGTTTGTGTTGCGAGACACACTATAAGTTTTCGCTTTGTTCTGTTTAAAGGAAAATTGTATTACATTTTTTATAGGTATACGTACTCATTTTACCTATTATAGTTATTACTGATTATTATATCTTAGATTCTGAATATAATATTGTCGATTATCTTAAAGTTTGCAAATTCGCAATAAGTAATTAAATGTGATTATCGATTTTCATGTTTAGCACTAATGAGTTATACTTACATTTGAACTTCAAATTTTATCATGTGCCTATAATAATGAGTTCTAACATAGTTCCAAATGTTACAGATAAAATTAATAAATCGTGTGTAATCAAGTTATAGTCTGTAAATAAAAAGTACTTCTAGGCTGAAATTAACTATAAGTTCTCATAAAAATAATTCAATTAAAAAAAAACTTCTCAGTAAAATAAACTTAAGAGTTTGAAAGTTAGGGTGTGGTTTGAACTTCTACTTCTACATATATATAGTATGTAACAAGATTTCGATAAATATGTACCTCTAGTGTAGATCATACGTCAGTACAATTCCAGTTAGTGTATATTTCTCATTTATTACCAAACTACTTATTTTAATTTATTCGTTTTTTTTTTTCAACTTAACTACTTGATATTTTTTATTTGCAAAGAAAACCTATGAATCATAAACATGTTATTGGAAAGAGAAAACATTGACTATAAATTATTTTACTGCTATTTCATGGAAGAAATCGTGATTACAAAAACATATAATATGGAACGTTACGAAAATAAGTCTAAAAAATGTTGTATCCAGTCAAAAAAATAATAAATTTATGTTAAAATTAAAAATTAAAACTATAAGAACAATAATGAATGCGTTTGGTTTTTATATTTAAAGCACAAGAGTTTGATAAAAAGTGATACAAAAATTGGAACAAAATGAATTACATTTTTTTTATGATTAAATGGTTAGGTAATATAATATTTCATAAGTCAACATCATATTTTATAAAACAAACGTATGTGGGCGTACTCAAACATTTCATTTTTTTTAGGGAGGGGCAAAATTAATTAAAATAATAAATGGAGATATTTTTTTATATTTTATTTATAATACATTTTTATGTTTCGTCATTATTACAATTAGGTATTAATGTTATTCGCAGAATACTCAAACTACGATAAGATAAAATAATCCAGTTATTATTAAAAGAAAGTTTTATACAATTTATCAAAAATGTAAGTATTCTGTGTTCTATGTCTACTTAATTGACGCGTGACAGATAATTCTTGGGAAAGTAAATTGAAAGTTCTAAGAGCGGGAGTTCTATTTTGCCTGGGGACGCACATGTTATTATGTAACTAACTCAAACGATATGAATACATTATAATGATATATATAATATATAAATAGATACTTTAATATCTATCTACCTAAATATATCTTACTATAATGGATTAGCTTGATTTTTTTCTTTAATCTTTTATTACATTTTTTTAAGCATTTTTAATAAGTATGAAAGATAATTAAATTTATAATTCTTTTGATAGTATTTTTGAATTTTTGAAAAAACTAATAAGCTATAGACGATTATAAAATAATTATAATTTACATAAAAAGTGCCCATTTTTTGACTATTATATAGGTAATTATTCCATATTCTGTTAAAAATAGTTTTAAAATCTGTTTTAAAAACAGATTCAAATTTGCCAATAACTATACTTTGCATTGAATTTTTCTTTTATTGAAAACATTTTCTTAAATATAATGTAATATCATAAAATAATAAATATTACTTAGTAAATAAAATTAAAAATAGTGAACTTGAATGTATAGTTAAGTTATTGGAAAATTAAAATATATTTGAAAATGTAATTGTCTATGAGAAAGTTATATCTTATCATGATATACCTTAGAGTAAACTTATTTAATGAATAATTATAATTTACTATGCATACATTCACACAGCTTGGTATGCGCGGGGCACCGATATTCTTCGTATTACATATCATTAATATATTATGTTGAACTCTTTATAAACACACTATTCAGAACATCAGAGCCCCTTCAATAGTATTATTTACTTCATTATTTGTAAACAATAAACACACTACAGGTTACAAACTTATAACGTCAAAAATATAATTGATATTATTACACAAACGTACCAACTATTGTAAAACCTTAAAAATCAACACAAATGCACATTTAACTATATTTTAAAAGTTCTTTTAAAAAACTAGAATTTAAAACAGAAATATTAATTATCTCCTATACAATGATAAAAATATACCAAGGTAAATTACTTTCTAGCTTTAATCTTTTACATTTATAAATCAGTTAACCTAACCTATGTTTTACCTTTATTACATTATACCATATACGTGAATAATGTAGGAACAGGACACAAAATAATAAATATAGTAACATGGCATTAGTATCTATTATCCACCAAATTTTTCTAATAATATATAGATATACGAGTATACTATATACTGACCATCAAAAAAATTGTTTTTTAATATACATGGAAATTAATTTTCTAGATAAAAATAAAACAAAATAATTTCTAATAATATAAAAATATAAAATATGTAAAAATAAATAATTATTTATTTTGATTTATGAATAAAAATATAAAAGGTTTTAGTGTTCTGCTATAAAAACAAATAAATTTCCAAAATATTGAAAAAATATATATATATTAATTTTATGAAATGTTTTAACTATCTAACCATTTCACGAAAGGGTAAAAAATTATTATCCTGCATACTA